ATTTTTAAATTGTTACGTTGTCCATGCAGAAAGGTATGGTAGTAGGCCCGTATAATTGTGGAGTTGTTTGTTCCTCATAAGTCATAAACCGTAGGGCCTTTAGGGCTATTCTTAAAAATTTATTTTGGAGAGTTTGAAGTTTTTTTATTTTTGTTTGTGAAGCTGATGTCCATACCGGGCACGCGTAGGTTATAAGTATGGTCTTATTATTATTGCTGTGTATAGGAGTAGAGAGCATTTCATCTATATAGTTGAGCTGTAGTGGTTTAGTAGGGGGTACAATATTCTCAGCCTAGTGTACCCTTGGTTTATATRTATTTTCCAGCTAAATTTTTCATCCAAGTGTATAGTCCCAGATATTTCACTGAGTCATCTTTGTTGCTCCTTTGGATTTCCTGGTTGTAAATTTGTATTAAGGTCCGGTTCATGTATTTTTTTAGCCTTTTAGGGTAAATATTTTTGCTTCACTTTTAGATGGGTTTAGTGTTAGTTTCCATTTTGAGAACCATWAAGATAATTCGTCTAGGAAGTTTTGTAAGTCACTTATTGAAGATTCTARGGCTTGGTTTTGTGTTATTATTGTTGTGTCATCTGTGAACATTGTTAGTTGACATTGTTGTGGCGTTGGTGTATCGTAGCAGTATATGTTAAATAACGTAGGTCCAAGCACTGAACCTTGTGGCACACCCGCCTTTATTCTTTGTATTTGTGATAAGTCCGTTCCTATTCTGACATAGAAGTAACGATTTGTTATAAATGATGAGAGTATATATTGGTAGGTTAAGGGTTTTTATTTTTGTGATAAGTCCAGTGTGTCAGACCTTATCGAATGCTTGCGATGTCTAGGAAGGCTGCCGTGGTAATTTTTTTATTTTCGTAACCATTTACAATGATTTCAGAGATCCTTCGTAGTTGGTGGGTTGTTGAGTGAAACGGTTAGAATCCAAATTGGTGTGGTGGAATAATTTTTAGATGTGGTTTAATTCTGTGTAACAAAACTCTTTCTAAGAGTTTTGATAGGGTTGGAAGTAGACTTATTGGTCTGTAACTTTTGGGTGAACTCTTTGGTTTTCCAGGTTTGTGAATTGTGATACTAATTGCTATTTTCCATGAGTCGGGAAAAAAGCTTAGCCTCGTCCATGTACTATTGGTAGTGGCGTATTTCGGTGGTACATACAAAATCTAATATCAAAGTTTTTATTATTTTGAGATTTTGACACTACCTAATTATAAAGAATAAATATTCAATCAAAAATGTACAACCAAATTTTTTTCAGATCCTCATTTACATTTTTTAAAAAAAGTTCACGCCCTACTGGCTTTAATATTATTGTATATAGCTAATAAACACAGWAATACTTTCGTATAGTATATTTAAACACATACTCAGTGTAGGCCTGGCACTAAAGGGCTCAGGATGCATTTCTTAAGAAAGGCCCTRAAAATGTAATTTCATAAAATGATAAAAAAATACCTTAACACTCTAAAATATGGCCAAAAAAATCGATTGAAAAAAAGTTTTAAATGAAAATTATTATTAGAGAAATGGATGTCAGAGTAATTATAAATATGAATTCTCAAATAAATTAATAGACAATATCATAAACATATAAATTTTAAGTTTAATTTACGATAAAAAAAAATATTTCTATAACAATATTATTATTATTAATGTAACAATACACAATGAACTATGAACCATAATATCGTGGTAGTGTGTACCTAGTACCCATGTCATAAAGTTATTTTTATAATTTTAGCTCCAATGTTTTTGTTAATCTGCAATAGTATTATGTATGTTCCTACTCAAAAATTATATTACCCTACTAGAAGATAATATTAGCCTTTAATGGAAAATGTAATAATCACAAAATATGTAGGATATAGGTGTTCTTAATTATTTCCTCACCTCACTTTCAAATCTGTTAAAATTCAAAACAATCAGAAGTTATTATGTGATTAGAAGCTCTATCCCCCTTTTATATCATGATGAATATAGAAAATTAATTAACTAGGTACATATTTTATTTTTGCTATAATCGATTTTTTTGTCATCATTTTACAAATATATATTATAATATATCTTAAATGTAATAAAATTGTAGGTATTTAAGCTAGTGCGTGTATCTTGATAAACCGCCTTCATAACAATTGTCTTATTTAAAAAAGAAATGAACTCTCTCCTTTCAAATTCCTTTATCCATAAATGAACTAAGTATAAACTAAATGTTCCATATTTCTGAAAACAATTATTATTGCACCATTAATTATTAAAAAATGCATACTTTTAATCGTCAAATAGCTATTATATTACTGGACAAGTAAACAAACTGAAGAGCTATTTGCAAAAAATCGGAAAACTCCGTTTGAAAAAAATATTCAGAATAAAAATAATTATTATTTTTAAATTATTTGAGATTTGATTAAGTTAAAAAATAATTATTATTTTAGACACAGGATATTGTTCTTAAAATATGGAGTTGTTTGGTATTTACATACAGCCCTTCAGATAGTCTGATTAGTCTAGCTATTTCACGATCAAAAATAAGGTAATTATTATAATGCATACTTTTAATTGTCGAATAGTCGGGCCAAGCACGATTTAAGATAGTATTTAAATCGTGGGGCTAAGTAGACCACTATATAACATATGATAGATTTTATTCACATATCATATTACTTTATGGTTTTTATTATTATTTATTATTAAATATTAATTATCCGTTTGTTTTGTAGCAAGGAAAGTCGCAGATTGGTCAGCACTAGATGATGAACTATTGAATATAGTTGATGATAGGCGGTTGTGTTTGATTTCCAATTACGTTATTGAACGTGATTCAAGTTTTTTTTTGTACACTTCTGGTATTCCTCTTTATAGTTCCCAATGCCATTAGTTATATTCAGTAGCGTAATTACAGGGGGGATTTGGGTGTCGTATCCCCCCCATGACCTTTTTTTTAAGATTGATTAACTACATACCTATGTACTTCATTATCTAATGATATTATTATTTTTTTTTTATATAAATGTATATATTGAGAAATCAAATACCTCGGCGAATTAATATTATTATAAATAGCCTATATTTTATACTTTATAGAAATAATACAAAAAAAACAAATCCTTTATGCTAGTTGTACATAAATACTTCGTACCTTGTTCGTTTTAAATACAGCCACGCAAGTTTATAAGTATCACTATTGCAATATGAATTTGTTTTGTGTAAATTTTGAGTTTGTTTATGCATTGTGCAGTGGTACAAAAATAAACCACCGAGCAGTAAAGTATTATTTTATCGTGGATCGACGACGATCGAAAGACTATTGTCATATCTGTCCTATCTTATCCTATCCTAATATTTTTCCGTAGTCCTATTGAACTAAAAATAACTTATCGATTTGTACACTTAATCGGAATTTATTCCATGTCTCATGTGTACATAAATATATTACTCTGAATTCTGAAAGGTGCTTATAATAAATACTTTTTATTTTTTTTGATGGGAGGGGGGGTATAGCCGTATAGGTGAAATGTTAAAATATTTTATCCCCCCCACAAACATGGCCAAATTACGCCACTGGTTATATTATCAAACTGCAATTGATTGAAAATGTCTAATAGTTTATTCGATACGTGGATTGGTCTAATAATAATATATATCACAAATGACTATCAGTCAATGGCGTCCAAAATCATCAATGCTATATTTCGTTTATTTTTGTTAATTACTGCTTTCTAAAATAATACTTTATTTGCTTCCCATGAAAACAAAAAATAAATAAATGAAAGCTCCAAAATCATTAATATTTTATTATAAATATTATAATTCTAGACGG